TATCTTTGCCGTATTGCCAAACAGCAAAGTTATCTTCCATCTACCTAACTAATAACTTAGGAACTAGGAGGGCCTCCTAAAACACACGAAATTCTTATTGTGCTATGTTTTTATTAGCCAAAACATGGGCTAAACAATATCCCAGATCTTTATATCTTTTATATGCTCACTTTTCAAACTCACCATTCATATTTACGTTTTTTTATTTATTCCTTTTCACCTTTATTTTTATGTTTATGTTCTCATACATTCAACTTATTTATTTTATTTTATCTTCCCCTACACTGCTCTCTTTTCTTTTATTCTTTCATATTTATAGCATAAATGCAATTCAATATTTGTTAACTATCTCCACTCCCTATTTCCGTATCCTCATTTCATTCTTCTAATTTTTTTCGAAATCTTCCAATTGCTAATCTTTTGCTTCTTACACCTTCATTTATTCCGTTTATCTTTTATTGCTTTTATATTTTCGATCCATCCCATTTTTTATTTTTTGCCTTTACTGATATGACTGCATCTATTAACAATTTATATTCCACTTCATTTACACGATTCTTGCTTTCTTTTATCTCATCGTTTCAGCTGCTCGATAAACACTTTTTTCTTCTTGGCAATTACGAGCCTCTTCTTGCGATTCATTGGTTTCGCATGACTCAACTATGCCTATGCTTTACTACACCTGTTAATGCCGACGCCAACGTAAATGGGGACTTTGGAACCAACACCACGTGTAGTCCTGATTCGCCATCTGATGCTCATACATTGCGATCAGACCCTTGCGAATCGCCTCCTTCCGTCCACTCTTGTTCTTTCCATTCGTCCAGTTCTTTTTCCTTGCCTCTCCTGATCCATTATTTTCGTCCAGAATGTCAGGGCTTCCTCAATCTTCATACGATACGTGATGCCGTTGTTGTAATCTTGCTAAACAAATATCTCCAACTTCAAATAAGGCAGCAATACCAAGATTCATCAACTTTGCAACCAACCTCAGCAAAGGAGAGTTTCTTCACTCCCTCTTGTTCTGACCCAAATGAAACCTCATTTGGGGTTAAGAGCATCTCGGCTTGCGTTAATTACATTTGCAGCATGCAGAAGAAAACGCCGAATGAACAAATTAGACGGGACATTAAAAAATTCTCGAAACCCCCATCTTGTCACCAGGTACGTATTCTTAATAGATGATCTAATTTTGATAAGATATTAGTGTTATGCTTTAATAGTGTACCGACACTATTGCATTTTTAAAGGCAAAGTATTACAAAATAGTAAAAAAATAGACAACAGACCAGTTCCTCATCCTATACACAACCTCAAGCTAATGTTGGAGTATCTTTCATTTTATAGAAGTGGGTTGACCTCGTTGTCACAACTTGATCTTGGGGTCAGGGCGACTTAGTAGAACGCACCTAGTCCGAAGTCGTCTGCCATAGTAGTTA